TTATTATTTAGGTACATCTCAGACTAGTAATACTGAGGGTACATGTACTAGTACCTCGAATAAACAGGAAACACGCCAGCTAAAATGTGTTACAACCTATTATTTATTGTCATGCAAAATTACCATTTTGTAATGATTCAACCGTTAGTGATATCTACTACAATGTAGTACTATGAAGAATCACAGTCCCTCTATCCTCTATATATCATAGAGGGACTGCGGAAGAATCTAAACTTACTAGATCGCTTCTACGATTTTTTCTTTGCTGTCTTTAAAAAGTTTCCGTTCAGTCGTTCGTTCAAGTTTTTGTTGCATAATGTCGTACGCCATTTTCCCGTTTTCCGTCGAGCTATCAATCAATCTGGCAGTAATTCTTTGCTCTGCCAAGTGTATATTAGGGCGCGTAACTCTTCTTCAAGCCGGAAATTGCGTGAAATTACGAAATATGTTGTCTCCGCCATAATTGAAATGATAGGTTTCTGGGAGAAGACGATTGAGGGTGTGATTTCGGCTCCGATAGTTGGGCCCTGATGCGTTTACACGATCGGAGCCATGCCGGGACTCAACCCTATCGGAGTTCAACCCCGAGGGTTTAGTGGAGCCGAACTTGGCTCGAGCCGAACGCGTTCACACGGCCATTTTTGCTGGCTCGAGCCGGCTCGAGCCGTAGGGCTCCGATAAAATGCTGTCGTGTGAATAATAGTATCAGGGCTAACGTTTGTTAACAAGGATATGCAAATTAGTACTTATGATTACTTAAGACAAATGATAAACATAATTAGTTGTAGTAGAGCTATTCTGATCTACTTCCCAGTTAATTAATTGACAACATGGGTCATTGTCCTCTGTCACTGTGTATTGCAATTAGCACTCTAATTTATACACATTGTTTTACTATACCTAGTGTTATACGGTATTATTGATGCGAACATTATACTACCAGTACCACTACCTGCCATATTGCCACGAGGCCCGGATTACAAACATTCTTTTTACATTACATGTTTTTTAATATATTTATTATGTACATTTCATTGGTATTTATTCTTATTTTTCTGTAATTTTGGTGATGTTAATATGAGTATTATTCAAAATAAAGTATATTATTATTATTTATTAATAAACCATAAATGTGTTTCCACTGTTAAACGAGTGGCATTGAAAAATACGCGTTTTTTTTTTTAATTTAGTGCATGACCAAACACATATAGTTCTAGTAAATAGAATAATTGTTATCGACAATGAATACTTAGTGTAAAATCTAGTGTTAGTATATATACAATTATAAATGTCTAGTCTAATATATCAGGTAACGCACACTCACTTTCTTCACCATCTTTGACAGGAAGTTCTGAAATATATTGCTCTAAATTATCCCTGACATCGAGTTGGTAACCAAGCTCTTCTCTGCCATGATCCATTAAGATAAAATGTGTATGGTTACAGTCCAATGCAGGCTTGTCGTGACTCAGTTCACTTGCACCATATTTGGCAGGCCACTTACCATCAGACGTCTTGAATTGACGACAATATTATCAATAAAGTCAATATCAATGCACATTGAATGATCAACACAATAAGTTTAACGAACTATGCAAACCCACATGCTTCAAGATTATTGGTACGATTCAAAGTGCATGTGTCGAGAATTATTGGTACGATTCAAAGTGCATGTGTCGAGAATTATTGGTATAATTCATAGTACATGCGTCACAAACTATTTGTGTGATTTAAAGTAGATATATATCGACAATTATCGATGCGCATTGCGCATTACCTGGTTAAATTTTGAGCTAAATGTTTTAGTATAAGTTTCTGTATTTTCTGTCGCTCTAAGTTTCGATATGAATATTGAAGAAATTTAAATCTAGCGCAGTTTGGCATCTGCTTTGAGTGCAGTCCAGTTAGATCATCGTTAGACGAATATATCGCATGTCTTCCATAATGTTTATTTATTTATTGACTTATTGACTCTTACACAATCCCCGGAGGGAAAGAAAATGGTCACAAAGTACAAGGAGAAATATATATATAAAAAAACAAAAACAAAAACACAATGTATGTGTACAATTTGTATTTGGTCAAGCATTTTTAAGATAACGGGTGTGGATGGCTGGGCGGGTGTGTGAAGATCCATTCATTTTCGTTTTCGGGCTGCGTACGAACGTAGTCTAAAAAATGAATGAAGATCTCCTGCCTCACACATGGAATAGCCTGTAGAATAGTTTGTGCTCGTACTCACATGGCCATGTAGGGCTGCATTGTTGTCGATGCTATCCCAGCCTGCCATTCCTAGCGCCATAATCTCTGTGTGTTCCTCCTTGATTGCCTCACCGACTATTTTACTGACTCCAGCATCTATACCACGTGTTATAATCCACGCACCTATGTAGTAATTGTGGTTGTTATGTGGAATAAGTCACAAAATAAATGTGTTCAAAAACAACAACAATGACGCAATCAACTTGAAAAATTAAATCAGCCTAAGTGTTTTATCAAAAATACCTGTACTGACTGCAGCCTTAATCAGCCCTTCCTTAAATAAGGTTTTCAATCTTGATTTGAAGTGATAATCATGGGCTCCACCAGTTACTGATATTAAAACCTTAGGTTTATCCATCTTCCATTGATTAATAAGAAGATCCCATATGAGTGTTGGTTCCGTGTTATTATCCACACGAATATACTGAAATTATTAAATGGGATGAAAGATAGTAATTTACCCGAGTGTCTTGTACTTTTCGGGTGAAATTATGAATAATTTCAAAGATAAATGTTACCTACCGGTGACTTCTTAATATTCTGTCCAAATCCAACAAATTCGATATCACCAAATGACTGTGTATTCCGTGTACCGTGATTTTCTGCTTTTTGCTGTATTCCATTTTGGTAAATGAAGTTCGCAATTCGTTTACGCTTTTCAAAACCAAAGAGAGAGGAAATACAATTTAATTCATAAGAAATTGCGTAACGTAAAATACATTTTTTTTATATATATTTTATTTTATTTTTACGTTAACCACATATATAAATACATAAATTCATCCCATCAAAAGAGTAACATTTCTACAAAAAAAAAATATGGCAACGAGATAAGAATACCGTGACAAATATAAAGTAAAAAGAAAAAAAGGGGGGTATGTCAACGTCACAGCATATTAAATGATTCCCATTTTTTTCAGTGTACTTCGCTAATTTGCCTCCCCCTATTGCAATCTCTTTTTCAAAATTATAAACTTGCCTAATGAGATATAGACATCCACGGAAAGAAGGTTTTTCGTTTCTCATTTTAGAAAAATAGATATGGTGTTTAGCTAGAAGAATAATATGATTTGTTATATTCGAAAACACCTTGTTCCCAAGAATAATATCTTGGTTGGACATATTACTAAGGGCGGGCAGATGAGCGTAACGCACCGAAATAGTTTGCCAGAAAGTCTTCACAACTATACACTCACAGAATAGATGAATCAATGTTTCATCATACGTTTCACAGAAATTGCATTTTGGTGATGTAACCAGGCTAGAGTTCATGGAATATAAATCTTTGTTTGTATAGAGAATATTATGATTTAGTTTAAATTGAAAATTTCTTGTTCTATTATCAATTTTAGTGGTGAATGGCAAATTATACACATCTGAAAAAATAATACTAGTATGGTCAATATCAATCTGATTAAAATCTGATGTAGTGTACTACGGGCTTTAATTATTTTGGCTATAAACTTATTTTAATTTTATTTTTATTACTTTGTTAATAATGCCTTTTTATGTTATTATTATTTTACCTTGATTTTGATTTGATTTTTTTTAAATTTCGCCCTACATACATCTGACCCGATACCAATGTTTCAACGAGACCCACTATTGACGATTTTAGTCAACGAATCACAGACCTCCTTCTATTGCGCGCATGATGACGTAACCGGACAGAGTCAGGTGGCAAGCACACTCAAAATAAAATGGCGGATTATACCGACGTTAGCGACCGAGAATAACACGGCTTTTCGGTAAGATTATCATTGTCAAATGCAACGAAATTCATTTTTATGTTAATATTGTGGCTCGAATGGTTCGAGTTTAGATCGTTATTTTGCGTAGTTATTCTGGGAGCGACGATTTTGTTTCCACCGGCTCGACCGAACACCGGTGTCCTTTTCCAGTCGCTTGCCCTGAAGACGGATGATGTTTTGTTGACGATCGTGCCAAAATCGTCTACGGTATTGAAGCCGTAGCTGTAAATATATATAATATGTATTGTACATTATACAATAACTCTTTATTGAAGTAATTGAGCTGATTTGGACTGGAATAAAATATATTTTATTTGGAACACATCGCAATTGATCGGGAAATATTTTTTTGCTCCAATTTACTGCGTCGATGCCGTGGGCCGGTGACCGTTATACAATTTAAAAAAAGTTTGCATTGTTTACTTTAGCTGTTTACAGTGTTCTAATAATTACGATTTACTTATTTTTTTGCTTCCATTCTAGATAATTATCCTCAGTGTTTGATGTGAAATTGAAGCGATGACTGAATAAACGAACCTTGGCTGGCGAAGATGTATCTGGAAGTGTACACATTTGTTGGAAGTGAAAAAAATATTCAATGTTATGACAAAAATTGTAAAATGCTGTGGAATTTCTTTTGTAAATAAAAATATACTAGCAATTTTCTATTAATGGTTTATTCAAGTGGGCAAAATATAATGTACAGAAAGATTGCCCGTATACACTGAAAAGTAAGCAACCGACAGCCTGTATAAAAGGGAGACTGTGATTGGCTGTTACTTACGCGAGATTTGAACGGGACTTACATGATCAGATATGATCAGATGTAGGTAGGGCGGAATTTAAAAAAATCACAAAATCAAAGTAAAATAAAAAGGCATTAATAACAAATATAATAAAAAATTAAATTAAAATAAGTTTATAGCCAAAATAATCAAAGCCCGTACACTAATTCAATATTTCTGACAGTTTTCTTTCACTCGTAGGACGAGTGGCAACTTTGTTGATTAATTCTAAGCGTATTTTTCTACTGTCAATTTCGTTAACTTTGGTAAAATTATTGTTGATATGTAGTCCAAAATCGTCAATTTTAAAATTTCCTTTAATATTTGGAATAGCGCTTACTACTAGTATTCCACAACATAATTCCCAAATGTGACTGATAACCCACGTGTTTGCCATTCGTCCCACGGAATGAGATCGCCATTCTGTCTGAAAAGATCTGATACATAATTTATACCAAATTTGTGCAGTATTCTATAGAAAATAGACTTTCCTCCAACCGTAATTACCTTATTATTCCACAAGTACATATCAATACCTAAATCAGTTTGGTTATTCTGACCATGCACTAAAACAATCTATGTAACATGGTGGCAAATTAATATCAAATAATTCAGTGCTGAAGTTACATTTAAAAACAATATCCCCACCTACATTTTCAATTCTTTTTGTTAAAAGATCCTTCCAGGCGTGGCTGACATTTTTATTTAGATAACGTATGATCCATTATTATTATACCAATATCTGGTGCCCCAAGACAAAACAAGTAAAACACACTTCATAAGTTTTAACTTTGTACCATTATACTGCTGGTAAGTATCTGTAAAAGTTTATCTTTGGGACATCATGAACATTATATAATATTGTAGATACTTACCCTGTTCTGTTCAGATGCTCCATTTTGGGTGACGTCATTCAGCATTGGCTTCAACTCTCGTATAAGCACGCCATCATCCCCACTTTCCGTGTCAGTTACATCAGTGTCAGACACATCACACTCTCTGTTATTCATTAACTGCTCTGTCATCTCCAGCGATGTCTCCCCATATCGATCGGCTGTTGACGTCATATCTCTGTTACATAGAAACATAATTTATCAGTCACACATGCAATGAATGTTACACCTGGTATCAGGCCAATGACCCACGACCTATAAGAACCGAAATGTACTGAGCAATTCAATCACACAATAGACAAATACAAATTCATATACCAGGACTTCGGTGTATATCTTAGCATTTAATATTAATATATGGATAAATATATGAATCAAATAACAAATCAAGATACAGCACGCAGACAAACAAGGTGTAATCTCTAAAACCAATATCATTTTTCTCCATTTAGTCTATATCGGCGGCCACTAGTCTGAGTAGACGGCTCAAAGCTGGCGGTAAATCGAAATAAACTCGCCCCAAAGATGTTCATGAGACCAACAAATCCTACAATGACTACTTTACTCAATTTTAATTAAAATTTCGGATCATAAGCTGTTTACTTACCTCAATTACTTGTGATGTTTGTACCACGTCAAGCCACACCATATAGGTAGTCCATTGTGACGCCGGGCTATGCTGTAATCTGACAATACGTGCCGTATCACACCAACACGGCTCGTTAATCTTCGACTTTGTTATCGCCATTTTAGTGATAACATTTAGTTTGTTTTCTATAAAATTGAATTATTTGTTTACGACAAAAATTATTTCATAACAATATAAATCAATACATCAATATATCAACTCTATTTATTGCATACCAGATTGTTAATAGCTGTCCCGATACATCCCAATAGTGTTATTGTATTAGTATTCGTTTAATAAAACAATCAATTTACGAAATGTACGCAATATTCAGTAAAATCAAAATTATTTTTGTTAAAAGACATCAACTATTGTACAATAGTTTCAAGAATTGCGTTTCAGTTACATCAAACATATGTTGTCGTCACTACGAATTGTGATGGCGTGGGTCCAATTCAACGTATACAACAAACGAGTTCTTCTGTGAAGTCGCGAGCACAGTACATGAAACTCAACAAAATTAGTGTAAGTTGCCGTGACGTTCACATTCAGGTAAGCTGCATATTGCAGACTAAATTAAGTACATTGTAAATGTATATGAAAATAGAAAGGGGTCCGACTAGCAGTACATTGACCCCTAAAAGTTAAATAACCTCTGTTGAGTATACAAAGAACATTATTACAGTGGTGCGTGGACAAAACAGGCTTCGTCCTTCGCCTCTATAGACTTTGTAATGAAGCCATGGTGCGTGTGTATCCCGCCGTATGACCTTATACAAACACTGACTTCCAAACAAAAGTGACGATAAACGCTTTATTTTTGGAAATTTGTGCAAACTTGATGACAATCAAATAAAAATGACCAAAAAACATCCGAATTTCTCCTGTAAATTTTGTTTCAGAAACATGCTGTCAGCACAGGGGAACTTATTGTTAATAGAATTACTTGTCGCTTTTGTGTGCTCAGTAGACTGAGCTAATTTATCGAAAAAGCTGATTCTTTTATTACTTGGGGCTTGGAGATTTTTGCAATTTTCTAAAGACAGGTGAAATTGTGTGCAAGTTTTTTAAAAATTAGAGGTAAAACATATTTTTAGAAAACGCGTTTTAGCCACTGCGTTTTTAATTTAGTCCCACAAAAGTGTGCAGCCTATGGTGTAAAACAATGGGATGTTATAAAACAAATTGTGGACAGAGGGAAAATTCATAAAAATATTTCACGAGCAGGTGAAAAACTTGTGATGTGGAAAGGGCCAGACCCCCTAACAATCATACAAATTTGGAGGGGAGCTGAGAACAACTGACAATTTTTTTTCTTCAGTCTAAATTTGACAGACCAACTTTCTTTATTTCGTCCTCAAAAGAACATTTTTCAAGGTATGCTGCATCATCATAGTAGTTTTTTTTTGTTATCTCTCGTTAAATAATCGATATGTAAGAAGTCAAAAAGGGGTTAATATTATATTACTTGCTCCCCTTATTTTTATATGGCTCATAATGATTTTAACCATAATTGCTTTTACACTCCGTATTAAATGACACAAGGACGGTCTCTCTCGTTCGGTTTGGAATTGATAGAAATGTTGACATCAAATATATCGCCGTAATAGTTGTAACCCAGTTAACGATATTTCTTCGCCAGGGAAATAATATTCCTGTTTAGGGACGTAACCACTGGATAAATCCAAGTATTCCATCTGGAATACTTGCACATAATTAGGGAATCATATTTTATCTATATTTTGGATCATGAATTACGTTTACACTCATCCCCAAAAAACAAAAGCATGTATCGACACAGCTCACAGTTGGCGTATTTACTAGACGCAATGATCCCGGGACCCGCCGTAGGCGGCAGTATTTTCATTCGAGGTCAATTTTGGATCACCAGGTCATTCCTAAACGCGTAATTAGGACTGAGTCGAGAATCAATTTTGAGTGCCAGAAATCATCCAAAGACGTTTATTTGGGTATAATTTGCGCTGTCAAGACAACGTTCAGGCTAATAAAATAAGATTGACGACGTTTTCCCATGAGAAAAAAGTGAATTATTTGTTGAAAAAGGCGGAGAAAAATTGATACGCAGAAACCGTGACGTTGACTCTACGCATACAATGCAGCGTCATGGAAATTGTCTACAGTACACGTACACGCATCTTTCGATGACGTGATTATTTTGCCAGCCAGCCCAGGACGCCGTACAGACATTGTACTAAGGTAAGAGCCTTTGCCCTTTTCCACAAATTTTAATATATTCTTAACAATTGCTTTACCTCTAAAACTCTGCACACCATGCTATGATCATTCAGTGTTTTGTACTAAACGACTCATCGCTTAGCAAAGCCAATTTTCAGGATTTATTGGCACATGATGTCATGAATCAGAGAAACTAATGACCAAAAATAAATATTGCATCGTATATAAATGATGACAGCGATTTACTAGGCCTATGGCCTGTGAACTCATATGATGTATGTGCACGGTGCGACTAGTAACAATTACCACCGCCACAGTTGTCGCGATGCATCTGATTCTCAATAAAATAGCATCTAAAACCAATTAAGGCCGATATGTGTAATTACTTGTACATTAATAGTCTATGCAACCAGCAATAATGACATGCAAGAATGGCATTGGCAAAATGATGACCTCTGATGTAGCCATGTCTAGGGACATGGATATGATTTATAGTCTTTGCCCATTAATGTAATGTTATAATGTATATGAAGTATGTGATCATGATTAATCTTCATGATCATTTGTGACCACACCATTGATTATTCGGCATAGGCTACCACACACTATAATATTGAGCAGAAAGTCATGCAAGAAATTGCATTTGATTCACCACATTGGCATGGCTGGCTGTATTCATTCTTACTTTTTCATGATCATTGTTTGGCTCACTACAAGTTTC